ACAAAGTGGGGTTGGGTGCTGAGACGGGGCCCAAGCATCTGGGAGGGGGGAGTAGAGCTTGGCACTGCCAGGACTGCTGGTCCCTGAGCTGCTGTCTCTGGGCCTGGGCCCTCCCTCTCGCAGGGTGTCTGTCCCACCTCCCCCTGACCCCTGGGGGCTGCCCTCCAAGGGCTTCTGTCCTGCCTCAGGCTGTGCCCTCCTGCCCTTTCTGGGAGTGCTCCTCTACCCACCCTGAGGGTGGGGGTGGGTGGATTCCCAGCACAGCTGGGCCCTCCGGTTTCCCAGAAGGCTCTCCCCGCCTCCCCAGCACCACATTGCTCCTCCCTGGGCTGTTTTTTCCTGTCCTGGACCCTCCAAGGCCAGGCCAGGGCTGGCTGGCAGTGAGTAGCACCCAGATGTCTGCAGCGGGAAACAGGCTGGGAGGGGAACAGATCCCTGTGTGAGCAGGTCCCTGCCTCCTCGGGGGCTGGGGTCGCGGGCTCCTGGAGCTGTGCTCTGTGGAGGGCCGGAGTCACAGGGCAGGGGCTATGTCCCATATTCTGAAGAGGAACACAGAGGCCCTGCTAACCTTGGCTTCCGGCTTCCCGTTCTGTCCCTGCTGCGGGCACCGCGTGGTGTCCACACCCTTTCCCTCCCAGGGCCCCTGTGGAGTCCTTGGCCCCAAGAACCCTGCATGCCACCTGGATGGCCTGGAACACCATCAGGCCCCTCTACCTGGCGCTGCTACCCCTTCCTAGTACAGCCTGAGCCAGAAACACCTGTTCCCTTTTCTCTCCGGGACAAACGCCTGGCCCCCAGGGCTGTCCTTAAGTTCCTTCCATACCCAGGGTGAGGCAGGCAGGCTCCCCACACCGGCCGCACCCAGCCCCAGCCAGTCCCTGCTGTGGGCACCGCCGCATGTGCAGAAAGCCTGCTGGGCCAGCCCAGGGCCTTTGTTGTGGGTACAGTTTCACTCTAGGGCCAGGCTGCCCCCAGAAGCCTTTGTTGTGGGTCCAGTTTCACTCTAGGGCCAGGCTGCCTCCAGATGTATGGCCTGGCAGCCTCCAGGGTCTACACCATCTGCAGTATTTTAGGTTCCCTGGCGGAGTTGGGGGGGAAGGTCATGCCTGCATAAACCATGAGCTTTCCCACCCCCACCCCTTTTCCTGGAAGCTGACTGCTGTGTGACCGCCTGCAGGTGTCACAGGCCCCCCCCTTCCTGATGCTTAAAAAGGGGTCGTGCCTCCTAGGCCTCCCAGGGGCATAGACTGCTAGGCAGCCGTCCTCCACCCAGTGAGGACTGCAGTGCCAGCGCAGTCTGGGTTTGAATGCTGCCTCTGGTGTGGTGTGGCCCCATCCACTTGTAGCGTTTGGGCCTCAGCTTGTCTGTCCTGTGAAGTGGGGAACAGCCCCACTTCCTCGTCTGAAGCAGACAGCGGGTAATCTGGTCGCAAGAAAGGGTGGGGCTGCACCCCAAGGGGCACCTCTACAGCTGATCTCCCTCACCCTGTCCCGATGGCTGCTCAAGTGCTCGTCCTGCTGGCCCTCCTCGCCGCCTCCGCCCTGGGGGACCCCGGCTCCGCGGGCAGGTGAGCTGGCCAGTAGCAGGCGGGCGGGCGCGGCGCGGCGGGGCGCAGCGCGCACCCTCTCCCCGTCAGTTTGCCCGCAACTGGAAAGTGGGTGGTCTGTAAACTCTGGTGCCCCCGCACCTTCTCTCCACCCCCACGTCCCACTTCTCTTGTGGATTCTGTTTGAACCCGATCTTCTCCCACGCTCCCGCCTCAGACGACCCCAACACCAACTCCATCAACACCCTGGGCGCCTCTGTTCCCTGGGCACATGCCAGACGCACCGCCTGCCCCAGATCATATACTGGCTGCGCTCTGCTTCCACCAAGGAACCCTCGGGGAAGGCAGGCCGCGACCGCGAGCCCCAGGACCCCCACAGCTATGGGCGCCGGCGGCGACGCGAAACCAGAGCCCTGCTCCGTGCCCAGGACCCGGGCCCGCAGTACGGAGTCCAGCGCCGTGCCCAGCTCGCTGGGTGATCCCACCTCCCCGGCCTCGGCCTGCCCATCTGTGTTTGGAGCTAATACCCCAAGTCTCTTCTCACCTATCTCCACCTCCTCCCCGGGCTGTGACTGGGCCGGACCCAGCCAGCACAAAGGATGATAACGCCCCAAGCCTAATAAAACGGGAGTTCCACGTTTCGGGCCCTCCTTGTCTGCGCCCGGTCTGTAATGCTCTCCTTTGTCCATGCTCCTGCCCTCTCAGAAGTCCCTCTGGCTGTCTAACGTGCCAACTCCATCCGACCCGACCCGAGAGCATCCCTTCTCCCTCCCCGGGGTGGAAGGACCGAACTTCGCTCCGGCCTCCTACACGCTTGGCCCCAAGCCGTGATTCCCAAACTGAGTCTCATTCCTTGAGGAGAAAGCAGAATAAAAGAGACAAAGCAGAGCGCGGAGCCAGAAAACCTGGGGTCCGGAGCAGTGGCTCAGAACCGGGGAGGCCAACTGGGGAGAGTCAGCCGGGGCAGGACGCGACTCAGGGCTGGGGATCGAGCGGAGCGAGAGGATTGGACGCCGTGGCTGGAAGGGGGCGGGGATGGGACGCCAGGGATGGAAGGGGGCGGGGACAAGGCCGAGATTGGAAGGGGCGGGACGAAACCAGGGGCCTGAATACCCAGCTGGGCACACGCGAGACCGATCGCGGTTTCTGGGTGCGGGGTGATCTGGCGGTGGGCCGGTCGACCACGTCGTGGACTCGCTGCACTGGGCTCGGACGTATGCAAACGGAAGACTCGACTCCTGCGCTCAGAGTCGTGGGGCGGGGGGTGGACTCGGGCTTGGTCCCAGGATCCGATCCGCGGACCCCTGACTCAGCGTGGTAAGTACCGAAACGCAGGGGCCCGAGCTCCTTCGGGGACAGGAGCCGTGTCTTGCGTTGGGCGTGAGGGCCTCTCCATCACTTGTCCCTGTCGCTCGCCTCCGCTTCCAGCCTCAGCATCCTTGGCTGCGAGGCATGCGCAGTAGAGTGTATCCTCCATCCACCCCCATCGCGAAGGGGGTTGGGGACGCTCCGCCACCCCAGAGCCGGTGGATTTATAGACACCACCTCTCCCGACCCCCGCCTGGGAATGGGAAGCGGAAACAGGTGGACAGTGTCAGTGTCCGGCAGGTGTTCATTTCACACGGACCTGAAACCAACGTTCGTCTCGAGACCCCGCATCTCCTCGGGCGGGTCTTCCTCCCTCTACCCCAGTCCTGAGAGTCCTTTATGAGTGAGGGCGACTGCCGGCTTCCACGGCTTCCACGATCTCGGCAGAGCAGCTAAAGGGGTTAACGCGAGGTATCCGTCCCAGCTGCCTATGCGTTCACAGAGGTCCCCAACTGACGTCCCTCCCCCAGGACCCTCGAACCCCACAGGTGCTTAGGGAAGGATGCACTGGGTCCTACGCCCGGGTCTGCGGGAGGAGGGGCTGGGGCCCGCACTTGAGGTCCCGCGGAGATGTTGGGGCCCGGACTCTAAGTCCCGAGCAGGGCCGCCGGCGCGGATTCCCCGGCTCCGGAGCCGAGGCGGGGCTGGGAATGACCTAGGTCCTCCCTAGGGCTCCGTCGTGACATGGCCGAAGCGCACCAGGCCGTGGGCTTCCGAGCCTCGCTGACCCCGGACGGCGCGGAGGCGCAGCTCAGCGCCCCGGTGCTGCAGGACATCTACCTGTCCGGCCTGCGCTCCTGGAAAAGGACCCTGTCGCGCTTCTGGGTGAGGTGGCTGCGGCTTGGTCTCCTTCCGGGAGGCCAGTTACCTGCTTCCGGGCTGCCCGAGGCCCACTTAGGGGATCCTCTAACCTCCTTAGGAAGTCTGAGGTTTACTCCCAGGACCCCTTCTGCTGTTCCTCCAGAGCTCATGAACGCGACCCTCAGCCTCCCCTACCGCGAGCCCCTTTTCACCTTTGACACCCACTTCCTGGGCTCCCCGACCTGGCACAACCCCCTTCATCTCTAGACTTTGTCCCCTCCCTCCCAGCACACCACTCACCTCTTCCTTTAGTACAGCTTCAAAGCATGGAGCTCCCCATTCTTGAACCTCTCTGCTCCCATGACCTGAGCAAGCTCTGGGGTAGCCCACACCCCCATCCTGAAGTCCCCTCCTTTCTCATTCTTGCCCACTGGAGAGCCTGCCCCAGCTCCTGAACCCTGGTACCTCTCTCAACATGAGCCTCCAAATTCCTGGACTGTGCTGGCCATGACAGCAAACTCCGCCACCCCAGCTCTGGGAACACCGCACTCCTGCCCTGGCCTCCGGCTCTAGGACCGTCTCCATACGGTCTCCCTGCGTGCCACATTGTGTGTGGGAGGCTGGGTCTCGAGCCCCCTGCACGTCACATTGTGTGAGGGAGGCCTCTACCACTGTGCAGCCATGTGCTTTTCCAGTTGCATCTGCCCCTCCTGAGGACCACGGGTGACAGCACCTCCCTCAGGACAGCTGGACGGTCACACTGATCCTTACACGTGGGTGACGTGTGTCCACAGCAGCAGCAGCTGTCATTCATTCACCAAATACGTTTGGCACATGCAGTCAGGGCCTGGCCCTGCGGTGGGTCCTGGGAGACAGGACAGATGGGACCCTGCCCCCAGGAGCTCTGCTGCTAGTTGGAGAAGGCAATAAATAAGCCAGATGTGAAGTATGGTGACTATAGTGTCATCTAATCAGATGGTGACACGTGCTGCGGTGGCAGTAAAGCAGGTGAAGAGGGGCAGTTCCCACAGAGGCCAACTCAGAAGGGGCTTCTGAAGTGAGATGGCTGAGTGGGCTGGACCACGCTTGTGGGCCCACAGTGGGCTTTGTTTTTAAGTTTATTCATTTATCCCTTCCATGAGTGAGAGAATGAGAGAAAAACAGAACCTCCGGGGCTGGCAGGTGGCATGGTGGTTAAGGCACTGGACTCCCACATGGCCAACCACGGTTTGAGTGCCAGACCTGGTGGCTTGCTTCCTCACTTTCCCTCTCTCTCTTCTGTCTCTCTTTGATCAAACTGGAAAATAATAATAATAATAATAATAAATA